CTTAGGAGGCTGGGGCAGGAGAATCGCTTGAACCTGGGAGGCAGAGGTTGCAGTGAGCCAAGATCGCACCACTGCACTCCAGCCTGGGCGACAGAGCGAGACTCCGCCTAAAAACATAAATAAATAAAAAGAAGACACGTGCACATGTATGTTTATTGCATCACTGTTCACAATAGCAAAGAGTTGGAATGAACCCAAATGCCCATCGATGATAGACTGGATAAAGAAAATGTGGCACATATACACCATGGAGTACTATGCAGCCATAAAAAAGGATGACTTCATGCCCTTTGCAGGGACATGGATGAATCTGGAAGCCTTCATTCTCAGGAAACTGACACAAGAACAGAAAATCAAACACTGCATGTTCCCACTCATAAGTGGGAGTTGAGCAATGAAAACACATGGACACAGGGAGGGGAACATCACACACTGGGGCCTGTTGGGAAATGGGAAGTTAGGGGAGGGATAGCATTAGGATAAATATCTAATGTAGACGACGAGGTGATGGATGCAGCAAACCACCGTGGCACATGTATACCTATGTAACAAACCTGCACCTTCTGCACATGTACCCCAGAACTTAAAGTACAATTAAAAAGAAAAAAAAAACAGATTTCCTGACTCCTTATTTGTGTCTATATTGTCTGTCTCCTCTCAGTAGAATGTTCTTCACTACTATTTTCCTGGTACCCAGACCTAGCATGGAGTACGTATTTCATAAATGGTTACAAGAGATTATAGCCATAAGAGTACTATTTATTGCAGCTGTTATTACCATCTTTTTCTTTTTGGTAGTTTTTAAAATTGTGGCAAAATATGTATCACAAAATTTTCCAACTTGACAATTTTCAAGTGTTCAATTCAGTGGCTTTAATTACATTCACAGTGTTGTGCAACCATCACCACTTATCTATTTCTGAAACTTTTTCATCATCTCAAACGGAAACTCTGTAACCATTAAGCAATAACTTCCTACTCCCCACCTTCCTCCTGTCCCTGGTAACCTCTAATCTACTTTTGGTCTCTATGAATTTGTCTATTTTGAATATTTCATATAAGTGTCTTTATACAATGTTTGTCTTTTTGATTTTGGCTTATTTCATTAACAGTGTTTTCAAGACTCATCCATATTACAGCCTATATAAGAACTGCATTCCTTTTAACAACTGAGTAATATTCCATTTATGTATATACCATATTTTATTTATCCATTGATCTGTGAATGGACATATGTATTGTTTCCACATTTTGGCTATTGTAAATAATGCTGCAATGAACACTGGCATGCAAGTATCTGTTTGAATACCCGTTTTAAATTCTCTTGGGTATATACCTAGGAGTGGAATTGATGAGTCATATGGTAATTCTATGTTTAGCTTTTTGAGGAACTGCCAAACTGCTTCCCATAGCATCTGCACCATTTTACATTCTCACCAATAATGTATGAAAGTTAGAATTTCCCCACAACTTTTCAACATTTACTTTCTATTCTTTTTGAAAGCTTTTAATACTTTTTGAATTTTATTTTTAACTGTAGCAAAATACACGTAATATGCCACTGCACTCCAGGCTGGGTAACAGAGTGAGACTCCTCAAAAAAAAAAAAAAATCCACATAACAAAACATTTACGATTTTAACAATTTGTAGATTTATAGTCCAGTAGTGTTAAGCATATTCATGTTGTTGTGTAACCAATCTCCAGAACTCTTTTAATTTTGCAAATTTGAAACTCTATACCCATTAAACAACAACTCCTTATTTTGCCCTTTCATCAGCCCTAGGGAAACCATAATTTTTCTTTCTGTCTCAATGAATTGGACTACTTCAGGTACCTCATATAGGTTAAATCATACAGTATCAGTATTTGTTTTTTTTTGAGCTGGAGTCTCACTGTCTCATCCAGGCTGGAGTGCAATGGTGCAATCTTGGCTCACTGTAACTTTCGCCTCCCAGGTTCAAGTGATTCTCCTGTCTCAGCCTCCCAAGTAGCTGGAATTACAGGTGTGTGTCACCACACCCAGTGAATTTTTGTATATTTAGTAGGGACGGGGTTTCACCATGTGGCCAGGCTGGTCTCAAACTCTTGACCTCAGCTGTTCCATTCACCTTGGCCTCCCAAAGTGTGGGGATTACAGGCATGAGCCACCATGCCCGGCCAGTATCAGTATTTCTGTGACTGGTTTATTTCACTTAGCATAATGTCTTCAAATTTCATCCATGTTGTAGCTTGTGTCAGAATTTCCTTCCCTTTTAAGGCTAAATAATATTCCACTGTATGTCTATACCACCTTTAGTGTATTCATTTATCCTTTGATGGACACTTGGGTTGATTCTACCTTTCAGCTATTGTGAACAATGCTGTTATGAACATGGGCGTATAAATATCTGAGACTCTGCTTTCAATTACTTTGAGTATATACCCAGGATTGAAATTCCAGATCACATGGTAATTCGGTTTTTAATTTTTTGAGGAATTGTCATACTGTTTTCCGAAGCGCCTATACCATTTAATATTCCCACCAACGGTTCACAGAAGCTCCAATTTCTCTATATCCTCACCAATACTCCACTTTTTTGGGGTTATAGCCATTCTAATGGCTGTGAAGTGGTAGCTCATTGTGGTTTTTATTTACATTTTCTTAATTACTAAAAATGTTGAGCATATTTTATGTGCTTATTTGATGTTGTATATCTTCTTTGAAGAAATGTTTTCAAGTACTTTGTTCATTTTTTAAAATTGGGTTGTGCTATATGGTTTGAATGTATCCCTCCAAAAGTGTGTTGGAAACTTACTCTCCAATGCAACAATTGGGGGATAGGGGGTGGGGTCTAATGAGAGGTAATTAGGTCACGAAGTGTATTATCACAGGAATGGGTTTGTTATTGTGGGAAAAGTTTCATTATAAAAGAGCAAGTATGGTCCCCTTTCTCTCTCTCTCATCCTCTCTTGCCCTCTAGCCTTCCACTATGTGATAACACAGCAAGATAACCCTCGCTACATGCTAGCTTCTTAATCTTCGACTTCATAGCCTCCACATGTATAAGCCAATGCATTTCTGTTCTTCATAAATTACCCACTCTCGGGTATTCTGTTATAGCAGCACAAAATAAACTCAGGTTATTCATCTATTTGTTGTTGAGCTGTAGCAATTCTTTATATATTTTGGGCACTAAATCCTTATCATATATATAATTTGCAACTATTTGCTCCCATTCTGTGGCTTATCTTTCCAGTTTCTTCATAATGGTTTTTTGTTTGTTTGTTTTTGTGAAGCAGGGTCTCTGTCACCAAGGCTGGAGTGCAGTGTTGCGATCTTGGCTCACTACAACTTCCTCTTCCTGGATTCAAGCGATCCTCCTGCCTCAGCTTCCCATGTAACTGAGACTACACACACGTGCCACCACACCAGGCTAATTTTTGTATTTTTAGTAGAGATGGGATTTCACCATGTTGGCCAGACTGGCCTCAAGTGATCCACCCACCTCGGCCTCCCAAAGTACTAGTGTAATATTGGGGTTCAGGGGTTCAGGGTGTCGTCAGCTCCCCTTAGAGGATGTTTCTTCAGATTCTTGGTCTCCTGCTCTCTCAAGAATGAGAGAGGGGACCACGACGCAGTGCACGGTAAATGCCGGACTCAAAAGTGTTTGTAGAAAGTGAAATGAGAGAGGGGACCACGACGCAGTGCACGGTAAATGCCGGACTCAAAAGTGTTTGTAGAAAGTGATTTATTTAGAGAGACAGAGAGAAACAGGAGAAGGAGAAAGAAAGAAACAGCTGACTCTCACACCGAGTGAGAGAATCCAGAAAGATGGAATCCAGGAGAGGAAAGCAGCTTCCACACTGAGTGGAAGGGAATAGAGAAAGATGGAGTTTACGAGGGGAAGACAGGCTTCCATGAGAGAGTGTGGAAGGGGACTCCAGAGGGAAAACCCAGGAGAGAGAAAGGTGGCTTCCACAAAGGGAGTGTTAGTGGAAGGGGACCCGGACATGGAGTCCCAAGGGATGTGGAAGAAGGGGACTTTTAACCTGGAAGGTTCTCTAAGATCCCGGGGCCAAAGAAAGGAGTTCCTTAAAACTTCTGCTGGAGTGATTGACTCTTAGTTTCTTCCCACGCCTGCAAAATTTAAACCTAAACCGTTAAATCTCCCAGATGGAGAGAGATGGGAGGGAGGCATGGCGCTAGGGACTTCTTGCCCTTAAAACTACGCCCCCTTGTGGACCCAGAAAGAGAACACCTTCCCTCACTAGGATTATAGGTTTGAGCCACTGCACCCGATCCATAATGTTTTGTGATAAATAAAAGATTTAAATTTTGACGAAATACAATTTAGCTATTTTTTTTCCTTTGTTACTTTTGGTGTCCTTTCCAAGAATCCATTGTCAAATGCTAGATTATGAAGATTTTCAGGTTTTTTATTTTTTATAATTTCACAGTTTTACCTCATATTTAGTTTTTTTTTTTTTTAATTGTACTTTAGATTCTGGGGTACATGTGCAGATCATGCAAGATCATTGCATAGGTACATTCATGGCAAGGTGGTTTGCTGCCACCATCCCCCCATCACCTATACCTGACATTTCTCCCCACGTTATCCTTCCTCACCCTCCCTCCCATTGTTCCTCTGCTAGCTCCAACCAATGGACTCCAGTGTGTGATGCTTACCTCTCTGTGTCCATGTGTTCTCATTGTTCAACACCCACCTATGAGTGAGAACATGCACTGTTTGATTTTTCTGTTCTTGTGTCAATTGGCTGAGAATGATGGTTTCCAGATTCATCCATGTCCCTACAAAGGACATGAACTCATCGTTTTTTATGGCTGCATAGTATTCCATGGTGTATATGTGCCACATTTTCCTTGTCCAGCCTATCATCAATGGGCATTTGGGTTGGTTCTTGGTCTTTGCTATTGTAAACAGTGCTGTAATGAACATACATGTACATGTATCTTTATAATAGAACGATTTGTAATCCTTTGGCTAGGTGTCGTGTGCGTGAGCCCCGTAGGGCCAGGGAGGCACCAGCTGCCATGAGGGGAGGAGGCCGAGGCCGCAGCTTGAGGGAGACTCCGGCCCCTCTGCGCCTGTGTCTGGCAGAGCTGGCGTGAGACGTGACAATCCTGCCACGCTGCTGGGATAATCAAGAATTTTGGCCAGAGCTTTGAGCACACACCAAGAGAGTGAGGAGCCAGACGACAAGCACACACTATGGCGCTGAAACAGATTAATAAGGAACATAGTGATTTGGCCCGTGACCCTCCAGCACAATGTTCTGCAGGTCCAGTAGGGGATGATATGTTTCATTGGCAAGCCACAGTTATGGGACCTAATGACAGCCCATATCAAGGTGGTGTATTCTTTTTGACAATTCATTTTCCTACAGACTATCCCTTCAAACCACCTAAGGTTGCATTTACAACAAGAATTTATCATCCAAATATTAACAGTAATGGCAGCATTTGTCTTGATATTCTAAGATCACAGTGGTTGCCTGCTTTAACAATTTCCAAAGCTCTTTTATCCATTTGTTCACTGCTATGTAATCCAAACCCAGATGACCCCCTAGTACCAGAGATTGCACGGATCTATAAAACAGACAGAGATAAGTACGACAGAATATCTAGGGAATGGATTCAGAAGTATGCCATGTGATGCTACCTTAAAGTCAGAATAACCTGCATTATAGCTGGAATAAACTTTAAATTACTCTTCCTTTTTTGATTTTCTTATCTGGCTGCTCCCCTATCAGACTTCATCTTTTTTAATTTTGTTTTTTGTTTACCTCCCTCCATTCACATGCTTATCTGAGAAGACTTAAGTTCTTCTAGCTTTGGACAATAACTGCTTTTAGAAACTGTAAAGTAGTTACAAGAGAACAGTTGCCCAAGACTCAGAATTTTTTAAAACATGGAGCATGTGTATTGTGTGGCCAATATCTTCACTCTAACTTGGTTATGAGGCTAAAACCATTCCTCAATGCTCTAACATGCTGAAGAAATCATCCTGAGGGGGAGGGAGATGGATGCTCAGTTGTCACATCAAAGGGAACAGCATTATTCTAGCAGCATCCATTCTTGTTTAAGCCTTCCACTGTTAGAGATTTGAGGTTACATGATATACTTTATGCTCATAACTGATGTGGCTGGAGAATTGGTATTGAATTTATATCATCAGCAGAACAGAGAATGTGATGTATTTTATGCATGTCAATAAAGGAATGACCTGTTCTTGTTCTACAGAGAATGGAAATTGGAAGTCAGACACCCTTTGTATTCCAAAATAGGGTCTCAAACATTTTGTAATTTTCATTTAAATTGTTAGGAGGCTTGGAGCTATTAGTTAATCTGTCTTCCAGTACACTGTTTAATACAGCACTGAATAAATGATGCAAGTTGTCAATGGATGAGTGATCAACTAATAGCTCTGCTAGTAATTGATTTATTTTTCTTCAATAAAGTTACATAAACCAATGAGTTAACTGCCTGGGTTAATCAGTATGGGAAACAATCTTTTGTAAATGCAAAGCTGTTTTTTGTATAAACTTGGGATTTGCTTCATTGTTTGACATCAAATGATGATGTAAAGTTCAAAAGAGTGAATATTTTGCCATGTTCAGTTAAAGTGCACAGTCTGTTACAGGTTGACACATTGCTTGACTTGATTTATGCAGAATTAATAAGCTATTTGGATAGTGTAGCTTTAATGTGCTGCACATGATACTGGCAGCCCTAGAGTTCATAGATGGACTTTTAAGACCCAGCAGTTTTGAAATGTGTTTGTGGAGTTTAAGAAATTTATTTTCCAGCTGCAGCGCCTGTCTAACTGAAATTTCTCTTCACCTTGGACACTTGACAGCTGAAAAAAACCATAATATGGGAGTAATAATGGGTCAAAATTTACAAAATAAAGTACTGTTTTGGTGTGGGGAAAAAAAAATAATAATCCTTTGGATAAATACCCAGTAATGGGATTGCTGGGTCAAATGGAATTTCTATTTTTAGATCCTTGAGGAATCGCCACTGTCTTCCACAATGGCTGAACTAATTTAAACTCCCACCAACTGTGTAAAAGCTTTCCTACTTCTCCACATCCTTTCCAGCATCTGTTGTCTCCGGGTTTTTTAATGATCGCCATTCTAACTGACATGAGATGATATCTCAATGTGGTTTTGATTTGCATTTCTCTAATGACCAGTGATGATGAGTATTTTTTCATATGTTTTTTGGCCTCATAAATGTCTTCTTTTGTAAAGTGTCTGTTCATATCCTTTGCCCACTTTTGAATGGGTTTGTTTTTTTCTTGTAAACCTGCTTTAGGTCTTTGTAGAGTCTGGATATTTATTAGCCCTTTCTCAGATGGGTAGATTGCAAAAATTTTTTCCCATTCTATTGGTTGCTGGTTCACCCTAATGATTGTTTCTTTTGTTGTACAGAAGCTCTGGAGTTTAATTAGATCCCATTTGTTTATTTTGGCTTTTGTTGCCAATGCTTTTGGTGTTTTAGTCATGAAGTCCTTGCCTGTGCCTGTGTCCTGGATGGTTTTGCCAAGGTTTTCTTCTAGGGATTTTATGGTGTTAGGTCTTATGTTTAAATCTTTAATCCATCTGGAGTTAATTTTTGTATAAGGTGTAAGGAAGGGGTCCAGTTTTTGCTTTCTGCACATTGCTAGCCAGTTTTCCCAACACCATTTATTAAACAGGGGATCCTTTCCCCATTGCTTGTTTTTGTCAGATTTGTGAAAGATTAGATGGTTGTAGATTTGTGGTGTTGCTCCCAAGGCCTCTGTTCTGCTCCATTGGTCTATATCTCTGTTTTGGTACCAGTACCATGCTGTTTTGATTATTGTTGCGTTGTAGTATAGTTTGAAATCTGGCAGTGTGATGCCTCCAGCTTTGTTCTTTTTGCTTAGGATTGTCTATGCAGGCTCTTTTTTGGTTCCATATGAAGTTTAAGGTGTTTTTTTCCAGTTCTGTGAAGAAGGTCACTGATAGTTTGATGGGGACAGCATTGAATCTATAAATTAATTTTGGGCAGTATGGCCATTTTCATGATATTGATTATTTCTAACCATTAACATGGAATATTTTTCCATCTATTTGTGTTTTCTCTTATTTACTTGAGCAGTGGTTTGTAGTTCTCCTTGAGGAGGTCCTTTACCTCCTTTGTTAGTTGTATTCCTAGGTATTTTATTCTCCTTGTAGCAATTGTGAATGGGAGTTTGCTCTTGATTTTGCTCTCTGTTTGTATGTTATTTGTGTATAGGAATGCTTGTGATTTCTGCACATTGACTTTGTATTCTGAGACTTTGCTGAAATTGCTTATCATCTTAAGGAGATTTTGGGCTGAGACCATGGGGTCTTGTTAATATACAATCATGTCATCAGCAAATAGAGACAATTTGACTTCCTCCTTTCCTGATTGAATACCCTTTATTTGTTTTTCTTACCTGATTGCTCTGGTTAGAACTTCCAATACTACATTGAATAAAGGTGATGAGAGAGGGCATCCTTGTCTAGTGCCAGATTTCAAAGGGAATGCTTCCAGTTTTTACCCTTTCAGTATGATATTGGCAGTGCATTTGTCATAAATAGCTTTTATTATTTTGTGATACATTCCAGTGATATCTAGTTTATTGAGTGTTTTTAGCATAAAGGCTGTTGAATTTTGTCAAAGGACTTCTCTGCATCTATTGAGATTATCATATGACTTTTGTCTTTGGTTCTATTTATGTGATGGATTATGTTTACAGACTTGCATATGTTGAACCAGTCTTGCATCCCCAGAATGAAGCCTACTTGATTGTGATGGATAAGCTTTTTGATGTGCTGTTACAATCGGTTTGCCAGTATTTTATTGAAGACTTTTGCATCTATGTTTATCTTCGAGATTGGCCTGAAGTTTTCTTTTTTTGTTGAGTCTCTTCTGGGTTTTGGTATCAGAATGATGTTGGTCTCATAAAATGAGTTGGGGAAGATTCCCTCTTTTTGTACTGTTTGAAATAGTTTAGGAAGGAATGGTACCAACTCCTCTTTGTACGTCTGGTAGAAATTGGCTGTGAACCTGTCTGGACCTGGACTTTTTTTGGTTGGTAAGCTATTAATTGCTGCCTCAACTTCAGCCCTTGTTTTTGGTCTATTCAGGGATTCATCTTCCTCCTGGTTTAGTCTTGGGAGGGTGCAAGTGTCCAGGAATCTATCCATTTCTTCCAGGTTTACTTGTTTATTTGCAAAGAGTTGTTTGTAGTAATCTCTGATGGTAGTTTGTATTTCTATGGGATCGGTGGTGATATCCTCTTTATCGTTTTTTATTGCATCCATTTGATTCTTCTCTCTTTTCTTTTTTTATTAATCTGGTTAGCGGTCTGTCTATTTTGTTGATCTTTTCAAAAAATGAGCTCCTGGATTTATTTATTTATTTGTTTGTTTGTTTATTATTTATTTATTTTTTTGAGACAGTCTCACTCCGTCACCAGGCACCAGGCTGGAGTGCAATGGCACGATCTCAGCTCACCACAACCTCCGCCTCCTGGGTTCAAGCAATTCCCCTGCCTTAGCCTCTCGAATAGCTGGGACTACAGGCGGGCACTACCATGCCCAGCTAATTGTTTGTATTTTTGGTAGAGACGGGGTTTCACCATATTGACCAGGATGGTCTCTATCTCTTGACCTTGTGATCCACCCGCCTTGGCCTCCCAAAGTGCTGGGATTATAGGCGTGAGCCACTGTGCCCCACCTTATTTATTTTTTGAAGGGTATTTTTGGTGTCTCTATCTCCTTCATTTCTGCTCTGATCTTAGTTATTTCTTGTCTTCTGCTAGAGTTTGAGTTTTTTTTTATCTTGCTCCTCTAGCTCTTTCAATTTTGATGATACAGTGTTGATTTTAGATCTTTCCTCGCTTCTCACATGGACATTTTTTTGCTCTGAATTCCCCTCTAGGCACTACTCTGAATGTGTCCTGGAGATTCTGGTATGTTATGTCCTTGTTCTCATTGGTTTTGAAGAAAATCTCTACTTCTGCCTTCATTTCGTTGTTTATCCAGTCGACATTCAGGAGGCAGTTGTTGAGTTTCCATGAAGTTGTGCTGTTTTGAGCTGGTTTCTTAATCCTGAGATCTAATTTGATTGCAATGTGGTCTGAGAGACTGTTTGTTATGATTTCTGGTTTTTTTGCATTTGCTGAGGAGTGATTTACTTCCAATTATGTGGTCAATTTTAGAGTAAGTCTGATGTGGTGCTGAGAAGAATGTATATTCTGTGGCTTTGTGGTGGAGAGTTCTGTAGATGTCTATTAGGTCTGCTTGTTCCAGTTCTGGATATCCTTGTTGATTTTCTGTCTCATTGATCTTTCTAATATTGACAGTGGAGTGTTAAAATTTCCCAGTATTATTTTGTGGGAATCTGTCTCTTTTTAGGTCATTAAGAACCTGCTTTATGTATCTGGGTGCTCCTGTATTGGGTGCATATATATTTAGGATAGTTAGCTCTTCTTGTTGTATTGATCCTTTCGCCATTATGTGATGCCCTTCTTTGTCTCTTTTGATCTTTGTTGGTTTAAAGTCCATTTTATCAGGGACTAGGATTGCAACCCCTGCTTTTTTTTTTTTTTTGCTCTTCATTTGCTTGGTAAATCTTCTTCCATCCCTTTATTTTGAGTATATGTGTGCCTTTGCATGTGAGATGGATCTCCTGAATACAGCACACTGATGGGTCTTGACTTTTTACCTAATTTGCCAGTCTATGTCTTTTGATTGGAGCATTTAGTCCATTTACATTTATGGTTAATATTGTTATGTGTGAATTTGATCCTGCCATTTTGTTACTGGTTGTTTTGCCTGTTGGTCGATGCAGTTTCCTCATTGTTTCATTGGTCTTTACCATTTGGTCCGTTTTTGTAGTGGCTGGTACTGGATTTTTTTTCCGTGTTTAGTGCTTCCTTCAGGAGCTCTTGTAAGGCAGGTCTGGTGGTGATGAAATCTCTCAGTAATTGCTTGCCCATAAAGGATTTTATTTCTTCTTCACTTATGAAGCTTAGTTTGGCTGGATATGAAATTCTGGGTTGGAAGTTCTTTTCTTTAAGGATGTTGAATATTGGTCCCCAGTCTCTTCTGGCTTGTAGGGTTTCTGTTGAGAGATGTGCTGTGAGTCTGATGGGCTTCCCTTTGTGGGTGACCCGACCTTTCTCTCTGGCTGCACTTAGCATTTTTTCCTTCAGTTCAACCCTGGTGAATCTGATGAGGCATGTGCCCTGGGGTTGCTCTTCTTGAGGAGTATCTTTGTGACATTCTTTGTATTTCCTGTATTTGAATGTTGGCCTGCTTTGCTAGGTTAGGGAAGTTCTCCTGGATAATATCCAGAAGAGTGTTTTCCAGCTTGGATTCATTTTCCCTGTCTTCTTCAGGTACACTGATCAAGCGTAGATTAGGTCTTTTCACATAATCCCATATTTCTTGGAGGATTTGTTAATTTCTTTTAACTCTTTTTTCTCTTTTCTTGCCTTCTCTTTTTATTTTATTGAGTTGATCTTCAATCTCTGAATCCTTTCTTCTGCTTGATCGATTCGGCTATTGAAAATTGTGTATGCTTCATGGAGTTCTTGTGCTGTGTTTTTCAGCTCCATCAAGTCTTTTTTGTTCTTCTCTAGACTGGTTATTCTCATTAGCATTTCATCTAATCTTTTTTAAAAGTTCTTAGTTTCTTTGCGTTGGGTTAGAATATGTTCTTTTAGCTCAGAGAAGTTTGTTATTACCCATCTTCTGAAGCCTGCTTCTGTCAGCTTGCCAAAATCATTCTCTGACCTGCTTTGTTCCCTTGCTGGTGAGGTGTTGTGATCTCTCTGGGGAGGAGAGGCATTCTGGACATTTTTTGCGTGGGTTTCTTCCCATTTTCATGGATTTATCTATCTTTGATCTTTGAGGTTGGTGATTTTG